GAAGGATCCGAGCAACAGGCTTCCTGGCAAATAGCGTGGCCATTGAAACCGGTCGCCTCGGACATCTTCACCACCACCCGGCTGAGACCCTGGCACTGCGTTGCATCCAGGGCAGTTCCCTCAAAGTCCTTCTCCCAGCTGTTCGGGTCGCAGATACCTTCCTCGGCCGTGCGCCGGCAACGCTTCTCATTCTCGGCACCCAGCATGAAGCCAGCACACGCCGCGCAGCTCTCCACACACTTCTGGTCCGATGGGCAAAGGAAGCCGCCCTCGCAGTCCGTTTGCGATTGTTTTACTGCATCCAGCAGTCCGCCATGCCAACTCGGCTCTGGGGCCTGGCTCGGAAGCTCAGCTGTACTCAGCCAGCATTCCCCACGACCGACGCGCAACTGATAGAAGCGGCAATCTGTCTCTTCCTTGCAGAGATCCTCGCAAGTCAATGCCGCGCAGGCATCTGCACTCAAAGGGCGCATGCCGCAGCTCTTCGGCTTTGCAGCTTCCAAAGCAGAGTTTGGCACCTTGTTGAGTCCCATGACTTGCACGAAAAGCTTGGGATCCTCTTGAAAGCCCCCTTGATCCTTGACTTTCCCCACCCATTGCTCACACTTCTCGGCCGTAAACTGCGAGGACTCACCCAGCCAGCACTTGCCGACCGACTTGGTGTCAAACTGGTAGAGAGAACACCTCTCGTCGTCGCAGCATGCTTGCTGGCAACTTCGTTGCTGGCACGCGAGGTCCGATGCTGAGCATTGCGTTGGCACGGAGACCCACCTGGCAGCTACCATAGTTGTTTCCCCCCTGCAGTCTTTTTGGCATGCAGAAGTGTCTGAAATATCGCACAAGCCCCTTACTACGCTTCCTTGTAATTCGCAGGATCCACTACAACGAATAGCAGATTGCTCCACCCGAGCGTGAGAGCTGAGCTTCACGGAGACATAAAGCGATCAGCCCCAAGGCCTGTAATGCAGTAAAGTTTATAAAAATCCCCAAATCCTAAAGCTCTCGAACCCCGTGGTTTTTCGCCTCTCACCTAGCTGGGGCGTGCCCTGCCAGGGGGTTTAGGGCTAGGGCCTAGGGTGTCAGCCTCACAATAACCTGCAAAGCCACGCAGTGCCTGAGACCATTGCATCTCGGCATCGGTGCACTTGAGAATCCCAGCATGTCCTCTTCCTCCTCGGAAAAGGTTCGGGTGGGGATTTTTCCCACCCGCTTCGCTGAAAATAGGGTTCAGCGCGTGCTGGCTTCGATTGAACGGTCTAGGGCTTAGGGGTTGAAAGCTCCAGTAAACCAAGGATCAGAGGTATAGATCCTTAACTCACGAGCAGGACCCTGACCCTAATTTTAAAGCACTTCGGGCGAGGCATGCCAAGGCATGGGTTTGAATTTGTCCACAGCTTCTCACTGATTCATTTGAACACCACAAGTTTGCCGACCCCTCCCTCCCAAAAAAACTCTGCAGAATTCTCCCCCTCAGCCCTCAACCCTGAACCCGAAACCATAAACCTGTATTTATTCCAAAACTAAACCCTAAACAACCCTAAGCCGCCCGCTCCCTGTCCTCCTCCATGGACGCTGAGGAGCCCGAGGAACTGCTGGCGTCATCAGTGTACCAGTCCACGAGCATAGGGTCCTGAATAGATACCCATAGGCCCCTAAGTACTTCCTTTTTATGGTTTATAAATAGAATCCTATAAGGTAATCCCAAAAAGGAACTACTTAGGGGCCTATGGGTAGAGTCCAATTAGAGAAGGATTTTTGGGTTCCCGTTTAGGATTCCTAGGAATTTTGACGTCTCCTTTAAGGCTTCCTTTGAGGGCTCTGGAGGATTATAGTGTTAGGAGCCTTAATAAATAGAATTGAAATAGACTATAGGGGTTTTGGAGAATCATGATAGGAAGCCCTATAAGGGATGGTAGTCGCATTGAAAATAGGCTTCTACACCCGGGTCCTCCAACCAAAGATCTCTTGGGCAAATGGCGCGATCATAGGCCACGGAGTGGAGGCTGTGGTGCCAGAGGGCCAAGGCACCTCGGTAAGAGACAGAGACATCCCAAAACGAAACCTACGAAAAATGCCTCCAACCCTGCAGTCCTGCCTGTAGAGGCCATGAGAACAGCAGCCGCCGCCAGGGCCACCTTCGCCGAGCCAGAAGGCTCACCGATGGGAATCCGGGAACTTCAGGCTCTACAACACTCTATTTGTATCGATCTGTAGTTGCAAGACGTGAGAAAAAAACGGATGCTTGTCGCCTTCTTGTCGATCTTGGCCACCGCAAGTTGGGAAGGGGGATTTGGAAGAGCCAAGTCGAGGTCAGGGATGTTGGGTGGGAGTTGGAGTCCCGGAAGGTTTTTGCTGAGGCCTTTGAGGCATGCGGCATGGTCATAAGGGGGGACCCAGTCGGAGAGGACCTCACAGAGCTGATGTGGGTCTCGCATGATCTTTTGAAGCTCATAGAGCTGATACGCTGTTGTTCCGACGTTGAAGGCCGTCCAGACCATGCCAAGAGGATTGCTCAATGACAAGGCGCCACCGACGACTTTGCCAACCAAGCCTGCCTTGGAGGCAAGAGTCAAAGTCTTAGTTCCCTTGGCGACTGCACCAGCGACGCCTGCAGCCTTAACACCCTTGGACACGACGTTCGCAGCAGCTCCTGCTCCTGGAACTACTTCTCCTGCGACCTTGGCAGCCACCTGCACGGCGGTCACGGCAGGCTTGGCAAGCATTCCCACGCCTTTCGCTGCAGCTGGTGCCTCTTCCACCAAGAACGCCGCAACATCAAAGGCAGGCATGAACTGACAATTACCACCGGCATACTTGCTGACGGCAGCAATGCCAAGACCCAGATCCGGCGTGCTTTGGTTCACGGTCAGGGACGCCTGGACATGACTCTGGCCACGGAATGCGGCCACACTTGGAAAGCCAACAATGGCAATTGCAATGAGGTACACCATGGCACGATGCATCTCGCCTAGGGTTGCATTCATCAAACTAAGTCCTGTTAAGCCAATCTGAAATGACAGGAATTATGAACTGCGCGATGCATGCGCAGCTTCCACCCCCCAGCGCCGATCAATGCCGCACAAAGCCTCAAAACGCACACGTCCGCACCCTGGTAAGTCGATGCAAGGAGCGGTAAGTAGTAAACAGGATCTCATTGGTCTCATCCCCCTTCGGGGGAGAGTCCGCTTCGATCGAGCTTGCGAGCGGATGCAGCGCTGCACTGCGCTCATCTGTAGCGCGCCGGGAGCAAGTTCACAAGCCCTACTATACCATAAACTATAAACATCGAAACCCCTCGCATTCGTTCGGAGCTGCGCAAGACACCTTCCTGTACAAGTCATGAAGCCAAACCTCGATGGGCCGGCTCAAGCCCATCGCCCCGAAACTGTAGCTCTGAGGGCTCTCAAACTCTTGCTTCGCATCATCTAAGCCTGAAGAATACTTGACAAACCTTCGACGGTTCTACGCTTTTGAGCGAAGTCAATGCACTAGCGGCCCTGGACAGGTAATGTCCTCGCAGGGCAGCTTCCCGGGCACCACACAGGAGACCGGCCGATAGATGCCGGAGAAGTCCACGAAAGGCGCCTTCCACTTCCGATTGTAACCCACCGATGCTTGCCACTCCTCCAAAAGATCCGGCTGAGGTCATTTATGGAATTTTCCCTAACCTGGCAAAACCCTACTTTTCGGTAGGATCCCGATAAATGCGATATGCTAGGGCTCATATTGCGGATTTATAACTAAGAACCTACAAAAAGCTAAGTTATAGGTATAGTGTTAAGGTTCCGGCATGTGAGATTAAAGGGTTGAGGGCCTGAAATGTGAGGCTTTTGCTACCTGTCCTGCTTCGCAGTTGCCAGGAAAACCGTCGCGCTTCCGTCATCCTGCGCGATCTAGGCACATGCATTGCAACCCCGAACCAGGACGCTCTCACAAAGCCAAGCATTAGGGTTGCTTCGGTACATTTTTGCCGTGACACGAGCCTTGAGCATCGGGTAGAATTCTGGATCGCCCGCGTTCCACTCCGTGCCCCATCCCAAGATCCGCCCGGAAGCCGTGCGAGGCATTCCGGGGCACTGGGATGGCACGAAGACCTGCTTAGGTCTGCGTGTGCAGACAGGAATGTCAAGATCATGGAAACAAATTTACGTCTGTTACGTTACGTAGTCAGATCGGAAAGATCGGGAGCGTGATCCCTATATATGGCGGCAAGATGAGGTGAGCAGGACAAGGATCTCTGAAGACACGGAGGAGTCGACAAGGAGGCGGTGCAGGGCTTGAGGTTTAGGATCGTAGCCAAGGTGTGCGATTCTCAAAGCCCGGTATTTAGGGAACTCCGTCTCCAGCTGCCTGAGGGCTGTCTTGGGATGGTGGATTTTTCGAGGGCCCCAAAGCTTCCAGAAAGTCAACGCCCGGCCCCACCTCAAGCCCTGTGTACAGCAGAAGGTCTTCGTGCTTCGGGAAGCCTTGACAGAAATGGCTCTTAGGCCAATAACCCACCAGGTGCCGTGTGCTGGCCACAGATCTAGGCTTCCGATAATCTTTCCCAAGCTTTGCGAGGTAGAACTCCACCCGCTCTGGCATCCCCTCAGTCGAACCGACGGTCTTGTACAGGAAAACGGATCGAAGCTTGTTGACGGTATATACGCCCAGGGCAGGTCCACCGGGATAGTGGACGAAGCCACCCCAATGGTCGAAGCCGTTGCCACCCTCGCAGTCATCCGTTGGTAAGTATGCATTGGGCGTCGAGTAAACGAAAAGCCTGGTTCCCATGCTCTGGCTGCTCCTCGCATCGGAAATGCCGGTCAGGTCGGTAGTCAACCAGCCCGCTTCCAAGCTGACCGGAAGCTTCGACTTCGGGGGGACGCCTTTCCACCACATCTGGTTGAGGGTGTGGCCACCAGAGGCGGGCACCTTTGGCAGAGCTCCGAGCTCGAGCACGGCAAAAGCCGTTCGACTTCCGTGCGTTTTGCAGATTGGGCTGGTGGAGTAGGTGTGATTCGGTGGCCCCGGGTGTGGCGGCCGAATCGTCCTGCCGAGGCAAATGCCATTCATCGTGACTACTGGGCCTGCACCACAACCTACAAAATATGTGTTACATATGTTATGCATATACAAATATGTAGCTGCATCGGCATATATATATATATGAGCATCCGTCAAAACTTCCGTAATTGTAGTTAAGACTAGGGTGACCGTGGAATGCCGGATTTTGCTAATTACCTTGGAAAGCGATAGGACCCCCCCAAAAGCGATACGATCAACAAAGATCACATGTTCGGTGCTGCCGCAGCATGTACGCCATAAATTTCCGTGTGATATGTGGCGAGCAAATCGATACCCTAATCGATACCCAATCGATACCCTAATCGATATCCACTAGTTTGTTTCGTGACCCACTGCCCATTCTGATGGAAAAAGGGTAGTATAGGGCAGGTAAAGGGCAGCAAAGGGCAGTACAGGGCAGGACAAGGGCAGTAGAGGGCAGCACAGGGCAGTAAAGGGGCAGGTAAAGGGCAGCAAAGGGCAGGGCAAGCTACGAGTAGGATCAGTGAGTCTGATGGTCTTCTTACTTTCACAAGAGCAAAGCGATACCTCACAGAAGCATGTGACGAAATCCTTGTAAAGCGATAGGACCCCCCCAAATCATCCATGG